ATCGAGAAAAAAACCCTCAAACAATCAGATGACTCCCTATGAGTCAGTACTTGGTGACAGTTGGAATGAAAAACGTCCTTTTAACAGGAAGAAACTTCTGGCAGAACTAGACTCAGAGACGCCGTCTGTTTGGGGGTGAAAGAAGGGAGACGAGTCAAAGACATAATGTGGAAGAGAGCCAGAGATTAATAATAATTAATAATTAAATGCAGAGTGGTGTATAAACACAACATATGAAATCAATATACTGATCAATTTTATTTTATTTTATTTACACAGTAGCAAATCAAAACAATTTGCTGTAATGCAGTAATATGGTTGTAGTGCTGTTGTCTCTGTTTGCTGCTGCTACTAAATTCAGCCACTTGTGGAAAAAGGGAAGAAGGAGCTAATTTCTCTTGTATCCTCAAATCCTACTTATAACAGCCAAAGGGTCTTAATGGACTAATAATTAATTATTAAATTATTAAGTCTTTAGAGTGGCTGTAAGACTATATTCTTTGACTCAGCTATAATCTTTGGAATAACTCAAATCTTTAAAAGTGTTTAGTCACTGATAAACATCCATGACTTATCATTGACATTTTCTCCAATATCCTGACTTTAGCTTTTATAATAATTGACTTCATTCTTCTAGTATTATTTACACTTATAATTTTGCTAATTATGTACTTTTTATGTTTTTACATGTGCACTATAAATAAAATTGTCGTTTTACTTTAATAAGTACTAACTCTCCAAATATTATCCTAAAGGACATTTTTACCATAGATGAGGCCATTCCTGCTTCCTTGCGCTCCTGCCTTCTGTGTCTGATGTCTGTACTGGGGACCGTATTTGTCATCTGCATGGCAACTCCTTTCTTTGCCATAGTTATCATTCCTCTGGCCCTGATCTATTTCTTTGTACAGGTAAGCTAAATAAGGTAAAGAAGATATCTAAAAAAGAAGCTACCCTAACTTTCCTATAATATGAAATGCAAGCTGATTTTGTTTTGTCTTTCTCTCTACACCCAGCGCTTTTATATTGCCGCTTCAAGACAGCTGCGTCGGCTGGACTCGGTGTCTCGCTCACCGATATACTCTCACTTTGGTGAGACGGTGTCCGGCCTGTCAGTGATAAGAGCCTACAAGCATCAAGAAAGGTTTCTTAAACACAATGAAGTAACTATAGATGAAAACCTCAAAAGTATCTATCTGCGGATCGTGTCTGACAGGTCAGACATTGAACAGTGTACCAAACACAGATAAGCATGTGATACTAAATGATGAGACCCTAAAATTTGTTTGTGTGCATATTTGTGGGGTTTGTTTTCTTGACAGATGGCTGGCCATACGTCTGGAGTTTGTTGGAAACCTGGTGGTGTTTTTTTCTGCTCTGTTTGCTGTCATTTCCAGGGATTCTATTGACAGTAATGTGGTTGGCCTATCTGTATCATATGCCCTTAATGTCAGTCACATAAACACTCAGAATTTATCCTTATTTCATCAGTGTTTATATGTGTGATATTAATAAAATGCAGAAATAATGTAAACACAGACCTCTCTCCTGTTGGGGTTCTGCAGGTAACCCAGACCCTCAACTGGCTGGTGATGACGACCTCAGCGCTGGAGACCAATATTGTAGCTGTGGAGAGAGTGAACGAATACACTCAGCTTAAGAACGAGGCATGTAGAAATACTTTGTGAGCAACACATTATTTATCCATTCATCCATTCTCTTCAGTCTATCCTTATCTGGGTCACGGGGTGCTGGAGCCTATCCCAGCTACCATAGGGTGTATGGGTGCTAACTACCATGCTGCCATACGACATTATTTATATTTTGGTTAAATCAAAATCTACTGTTTTCTTAAATAGGACATGAATTTTAAGATTTCCGCAGGCTGTGAGTTTATTGTAACTGTGACAGTTCAACAGGAATCTAATACGCTTGTGTGCGACATCAACTGCCGTGTTTGCTCACTGTACAGTGATAATACTTTTATTCCCAGCTGCTGTTTCTCCACTGTTTCTTAACATACTACCGATAATAGTTCAGATAATTGTCAAACAAACAGGATTTTGATGCAACAATTTCATTTTATGTTTCACTAACATTTGATTTCACATGTTTGAACTCCACCTGTTATATTTGAGTTGGGTTGTTTATTCATAATGGCACCAGAGCTGCACTGATTAGCACATCCCATCATGCTGTTCATACTGAATTTAATCTGATTTAGAATATAACATTGCACATGTACACTTGGCCTTAATTGTTAATCTTGGTTGCATATTTTCATTTGAGCTATTTAATTTTTTACCAAGTGTGACGTCTTTTTAAGTTTTCTTTTTTTCCTTTATTTTAGTGGTGTAATGCGTGCATGTCTGCATGTATGGCGTCTGTATAATTTTGTTTCTTATTTATCTTGGTTTGAATATTAATGCACAACATATAAAAGAGCTCCCTTAGCTCAATTTGATAGCTTTTGTATTATATTACACATGCGTTCTGCTTCTTTTTCTGTTGTTACAGGCTGACTGGGTAACTGACACTCGACCTCCACAGATGTGGCCAGAGGCAGGAAGAGTGCATTTTGAGGACTACAAAGTCCGTTACAGACCTGAATTGGATTTAGTGCTGCATGGAATCACTTGTGACATCAACAGCACTGAGAAGGTGTGTGTGTGTGAGCGTGAGAGGGAGAGTCTCCATATATGTATAAAGTTCCTGTAAAAGTTATAGGTTTTACTGTATCTGATATCATATTCACCAAAGATACAAAAGCATGTACTGCTAAAAAAGAAAAAGAAAAAAAATTGGATGGACATTAAATCATTGGGAAGTTTTTTTCTCCCTCATTGAAAAATCCATAATATATAAAATTGTACCACTATTTTTTAATTTAAAAGGTTAACTATTAACAACGTGTGCAAGCTTTCTGCTGGCTGAGATTGGCCAACTGTATCTAAAATGTAGCTTCCAGATACAGACATGCACATCATTTTGTATTTGAGTATAGAAAAGCTATTATGTTGAAATTTGTCATTTAGACTTTGTGCTGTTGACATTCTATTGTTTGGTTTTTTTTTTAAATGTTTTATAGACCAATCTATTAATCAATTACTCAAGAAAGATGCCACAGATCAATCTGTGTTGACAGTAATTACATATAATTAAACTGTAAAATAATGTGAACTATCAGTTTTTCTTTTAATTTATACATTATGTGTATTACTGTATATTATAATCAGCTGTGATATGTAAACATGTAACTAGTCTATGGGCAGTTGTTCCCAAACTTTTTTTGTTAGGCCGGAATATTCAGCATTGCTATCAATACATCCATCCATCCATCTTCTTGTGCTTATCCAGGACCGATTCGCGGGGCCAGCAGCCTAAGCAGAGAAGCCCAGACCTCCCTCTACCTAGCCACCTCCTCTAGCTTATCCAGCAGAACACCAAGGCATTTCCAGGCCAGCCAAGAGATATAATCTCTCCATGGTTTCCTGGGTCTTTGCTTTCTTGCTGAGGACCATGGCCTCAGATTTGGAGGTGCTGATTTTCATTCCCACCGCTTCACACTCGGCTGCAAACTGTTCCAGTGCGAGCTGGAGGCCATTACCTGATGAAGCCAACAGAACCACATCATCTGCAAAAAGCAGAGATGAGATTCTGCGTCCACCCAATTGAAAGCCTTCTGTCACTTGGTTGCGCCTAGAAATTCTATCCATAAAAATTATGAACAGAAGAGCAGCCTTGGCAGAGCCCATTACCAAACAAGAACGAGCTTGACATTGCCGGCTATGCGGACCAAACTCTTGCAACGGTTGTATAAGGATTGAATGGCCCGTAGCAATGGGCCAAGGATCTCATACTCCTGGAGCACAGGACACTCCAAGGGACACGGATCCCCCATAACTGAAATAAACCCTCAGGTCCCCCTTCTTAAAAATGGGAACCATCTATCAATCCAGAGGTACCACCCCTGATGTCCACGCAACATTGTAGAGGTGTGTCAACTAGGACAGCCCTACAATATCTAGAGCCTTCAGGAACTCAGGGCATACCTCATCCACCCCAGGGGCTCTACCACTAAGAAGTTGTTTGGTGTGCGTTGAAGATCTCGCAGACTGGGGCCTCTGCTAAGCAATTCCCAGCACACCCTAAGTATACATTTAGGTGCACCAGGCCTGTCCAGCGTCCTTCTCTGCCACCTGATCCAACTCACCATCAGATGTTGATCAGCTGACAGCTCAGCCCCTCTCTTTATCTGAGTGTCCAGAACATATGGCCACAGGAATGGTGATACAATTACAAAATCAATCATCAACCTGTGGCCTAGAGCATCCTGGTGCTACATGCACTTATGGACACTCTTATGTTAGAACATGGTGATTGTTTTGGCCAAACTGTGGTTTGCACAGAAGTCCAACAACAAAACACCGCTCGGGTTCAGCTCCGGGAGGCTGTTCCTCCCAGTCACATCCCTCCAGGTCCCCCTGTTGTTCCCCATGTGTGCACTGAAGTCTCCCAATAGGACAACAGAGTCCCCAATGGATTAGGGTAAGCTCAAACACTGACAAAGTTGAAATATTGGTGTCAAAGTAAAACTGAGTAAAGACTGTCTGCATTGCAATAACATATATCACGGAATTACTGCCAATAGCAGTGATGACTATAAGCACTGTAAAATATCCGCTGCCTCTGAAAAATGTTGCTTCTTTCTGTAACATTACTGAAATGTCTAAGATCTTTTACAAACTAAGTACAGACTGAGTATATTTGCTTATTATTGCATTATTTATTGCTATACTGTTAAATACAATTTATATCCAGAAAGAAAAATGTGTAGATTTTTTTTTCCAAATATGTGCCAGCTGTTATTTTGATCTTATGTGTTTTCTCTCACTGCATTCAGATCGGTATTGT